AATAGTTTTTGAAGTGGTTCGTCGCCTATTTTATTTAATTTATACCACATTGTGTGTAACTTACGTCCCTTTAACACAATCCGGTTCGCGCCGCGGCGTTCGGCTATGGGCGTAGATGAGTCTTTCTACGCAATATCTGACGCACGCCGCGCAAATAATTTACTTTGGCTCAGTATGACCACCTTTTGCCTGGACTGTAGCACTGAGATGGTCCAAAAACGAATCACAAGCTACCCGAATGTGACTTAACGATATTTTGGCCCACTCAAGAATAATGGCTTTCTTCAGTGTCTCGAGGCTGGTGGCCTCTGCTCTCCAAAATAGCCCGGATAGAATAATTCATCGGATTCTCGTCGGGTGAATTCGAGAGCCATTGTGAGGTCGAAATGAAGTTCGGAACGTGGTTTTTGAGCCATTCTTGGTTCATTCGCGCTGTGTGAGAAGTAAACCCTATCGTTTTGAGAGCTTACAAATTGCTCAATTAGAAAAAATTTCCCGTCGGATAACACGATGTTCGGAAATTGACCACCTTCGGACAAGCGAAGTATTTGTCGATTTTGAAGCAATGGGTAAATCCAAAACCGCCCTCTTTCTTCTTCTTATTCGCCGTCTCTACTATTCGTGATTTGTTTGTCTGAGCGGTCCATAGGACCTTTGTCCATTAGTCACTGTCTAATGTACGTTAGTCGAATCTGTCAGTCCTGGTTGCCCAGAAACCAGACAATGTCAAGGAAAAAGAGAAAGTGAAAGAGAAGAAAAAGGAGAAGAGCAAGGAAAAACAGAAGTGTTTAGTTTAAGAAGAAACACCTAGGCTTTTTGACTTAGTGTACGAATTAATTTTGAGGTGAACTAAACAAATTTTGATTCTGTTTTGTTAGAGTGTAATTTTAAGTTTACTAAAGGTTCGCGTTAATTGTTGATTACAGTGCGCGCCGTGGCCTTGAATGTTTACAAACTTGCTCTACTGTGTAGTCCACTGAGTCGCGCAACAGAGGGTTGCTGTGCGATTCCGCTTGACTATAACGTCGCTGCGCCTGAAGCTTGACATAATCCCTCAAGTAAAGAATGTCAAGCTCTCTGTGTAGTGTCTGTTTGAGACATACCATGGAGCTTTGCAAATTCTTCGTAAACTTCTACTTTGCAGTACTTGAAGACTTTGCATACGTGTCTTGGCAAGAAAACACCAACCCGCACATGCATAAGTAATGGCTGACCTAATAATCATTTTATATAGGCGAACTTTGTTTATCAAACTCAATTTGGAGTATCTACATAACAAAGGATATAGTTGCCGAAGCGCAATTTGGAATTTTGTTTTCCAGGCTGCTGTATGTTTCAGCCAGGTCATGCCTTTATCAAGTGTGACATCGAGGTACGTGGCAGAATTTGTCCATGTATACGGTTGCCATCTACGGAAACCTCTGCTGGGGGGCCGTGACGTTTTTTGGTACAATAAGTAGCCTGCGTTTTCGAATGATTAATTTTAATCATCCACCATTTCGGCCACTCCCGCAAAGAATAAATTGACACAATATCTGCGGCCTACTCGTATGTACTTACGTAAGGCAAAATGCACTTAGATGAGGTCTGAAAGCCTAGATATGAGCGTTTTTGGAGGCTTCGCTACTTCTACTTCTAGGCTTGACTCAGAAATTATATTGGGCATTGCGGGCCAGTTGTACAAAACAACAGACAACCCAAGTCCTCGTGAACTCTAGCTAAAGCTTGACAACGGTTCAACGACAGAGCCGTTGTGCCGTTTCTTCCGCTGTTATGCCTGCTGTATTGCTATTATTTTTGACTAATCAGCAAGTTAAATGATATGATATTGCAAATATTTTATCTCTTATTTTGAAATAGAAGATTAGCATGTAACCATTACGAAAATATCATTTTGTTTTTAAGGAACCCTCTACTTGCTATTTTGTCAAACTTTAAAGTTGCATGTTTGGTGGTAATAATAGAATGTGTTATACTCAGGTTTTTTGGCTTTTTGCATAAAAGGATGCTCTAAATTATAAATCCTGTTATACACTGTATACTGCTAAAGAAAATAGATGTGAAACTGTAAAAAACGTTGTTTTTTTCAAAGAAAAAGGTTGCAAACTAGTCGTGTAATAAGCTAAAATGACATGAAATTTCTTCAATAACATTGAAGTGTTTGAAAGTAGGAACAATTATCAGCTGCCATTTTAAAACCTTCATTTTTTGACAGATAAGAGAAATGCTGCCCATTGTTGTTGTTTTGTTGTGAAAAATACGTAAATCAAAAATGAGGTTATTGTTTTTTCAATAATCCTTTGTACCCAGTTGCCTTCGACGTTGCGCCCTCGATTGCATCGCTGTGCCAGGTACACAAAACATACCACCGTGCAGTGTTATTGTTGAAATATGATCAACAACCGGTTCTCGATAATATTTGTACCTTATAACATAGATATACTTAAATAAATTAGTAGCTAGCATGCCGCAATGATGTAGCTGGAGGAAGATGTTATTCAGCACCAGGATTATTTATTTCGTGGGCAACGTCACTATAGCTCCACCCTCTCGTGAAAGCATGCATAAGTCTGTAAAAAAGATGATAAGATACAGTTACAATTTTTACAAACATCATAATAGTCTGTTAATCTTCAGTTTCGAATTGGTGAACCTTTGTTTAATATTTGTACTGGTTAGAATGCAATCATCAATCTTATTCAATAAAATATTTCATATATTAAAACATCTTAAAATAGTTCATCAAGTTCAAACATACTAAAAATGAATTATAATGTGATATGGAAAAAAACTAACCGAGGTACTTTTGGGAAGGGCATACGTCATTCCTCAAAAAAAATGCCATAGGATAACGATACCGTACAGCAGTAAGTAGATTTTGGACAGTAAAACCTACCGGCTACACCTCCAAATCTTACTTTCATCGCAATCGTGTGCCGGTTGCATATTTTTGCCCTTGGAAATAATGCAAGGGCAAGGAACAGAGATTAGAGGTAGCCATATCTGTAATTACTATATGAACACGTACTTACACAAAAAGGATTACAGATATTATGAAATAAATCACAATGGTAAAAAAAACTTTGAAAATCGTGATGAAATTCTAGAAATTAAAAGAATTTGAAAAGGCAAATCAAATTCTAAAAAATATTGCAACTAAACATAGAATTTTTGATAGTGATGGTGGTGTAGCGATAAGAATATTTATCTTAAATAAAAGAAACGACTACTTAACAAAATTTATTAATTGCTTCATTGCGATGAATATTGCCACAGTACTCAGTGTGTTATATTCGTCGTAACTTAGAACATCATTTTGTGCAAAAAGACAAGCAAAACCAGCATATAGACAGTATTAGAGTCTAGAGTATTATCACCAAAAATGCAACTTTGAGGTTCTATAAAATAGCAACAAAAAATAATATTTTCGTGAAAGGTGCATTCCAATTTTTCATTTTAAAATAATAACTGAAATATTTGCGACATGTGTTAAAGTATAGTTCAGGCGTTGTCATTCCCAAAAATTGAATATCGAAGCGTGGATTGCGATATCCAAGCAGTTTAATTGCTTGTGCGGCGATGTATACTCGTATATATATGGTGATTAAAAAGATAATTATTTTCTCGATTTTATAGATGATAAGTAACTGCTTCCTTTGTGACACGAAACCTGCTGGAAAATTAACGCTGATCTCATTTGTTAAAGTGATCGTCCCTGAATCTATAGGTCTGAGTTTTCTGGAATGCACCAATACATCATACAACTCCAGAAAATCTTCACCATCTGTAATTTGTTCAACAATATCCTCCATTTTCGATTAACATTAACCAAACCCTATTCGCAACATAACCTAAAAACTCAAGTACGTGTCTATTTTGCACCGACTATTTATCATAAACCTATAAAAATCTAACCTGCACCGACGTTAAGCGGAACTTGACCGAAGTTTAAACTGCTATATGTCCGTAAACCTGTGTGGTGCAACGCTAATATTCTATTGAACGAGGTTCATAGTTGAATTTCGAATAAACCGGGTTAGTAATACCGGCGCTTAGGGTGGTAAGCGATGCTTGTTCTTTTGCCTACATATTTCAAGCAAAATATCCAACTCGCAGTCTACTTCTAGACTAGCCACTAGTCACAACACGGATACAGTACCATTATTTTACACTGCAAGCTTTATTGTGATATCATCTCCCTGATGAATTCAATTAGAGATGTTGAATAAATTAGGTATTAATGTTGGACAAGGCAACATGGAAAGGATCCGGCAGAGCGTTCAGAGTAGTTGGCACTAATTTTGATTGTTTTGGTTTTGAAAGTTTATATGACTAATGAATTTTCTGAGATGTTTTCTAATTTATACTTTCTCTTTTTCACAGGTAAGTTCCAAAACCATGACTAGACAAGTGCAGTTGTAGTAAGTATGCAAAGTGTTTAAACTCTAGTACTTCACGCATTGATTCCCCCGTATATTTGCCCTTAAGACTTGAACTACTAGAAATACCCTTCTTAAACGGAAAGCAAATAGGAGTTACACCTATCCCGAGCTAATTGACTGTTTACTCATCGCACCTAACTTTGACTGCAGTGTTGTAAGGTACAGAGTCCAGGCTAGATAAAAAAGGTGACAAAAAGTTAAGCAGATATATGAAACTTTTAAATGGAAGGAGGAGGGGTCTTTCAAATGACAACTACATAAAAAGATACAGCTATCTAGCTGTAGCATATCTGCGTTGTTTTTTTATAAGCAATTTGTTTTTTAAGAATAAAAACCGATAAGCAATTAAGCTGAATACGCGTATCTTAAGCAATATTGAATAAATGGTCATAACTATTGCAATAACAATTGTAAATGGCAAAAAAATTGTGAGAATTGGGTTATCATTGGTGTTAATGAGTGTGCCAAATTTCAGTCGGATCGGTTTAACAGGTTATTTAAAAAGCACCCGCAGCAAGCTTTGGATGATTATGAGTAGATATTTTGGATACGTATCGCCTAGATAGCACCACCGTTATGAATACAATGTGCTGATTGAGCTACCACTCTTGCCTTGAACGAATTAAAAACTATAAAGTAGCCTCATGCAAATCTTTCTCAGCACCAAACTGGAGCTGCTATGAGGACTTGGCCATATATAACCCCTCATAAGGCTTTTTCAAATAATTCTTCTCTGAAAGTCTATCGGCCCTCCGAAGGATTTCCATGTTTTATTCCTTGTATGCCGAAGTTGTGTTTTGTAGCGCAAATGGATATGCCTATTAGACAGTAAAATTGTTATTCTGACCGATGGTTTCCGGATTATGTCTCATTCGTTTTCCGTTCATTCCTATCTCTCCGGTAACATAATCGCTTTTAGACGCGTAGATTCCATTGTTACCGCTCCACCTCCCGCACCGAATGAATTCCCCGACCGCATAGTGCAAAACCGTAATAACCCCAGCCCATCCATTTAGCCGTTCAGTTCACCGACACCCCCAAACAATCACAACCTTTTGACCGACCACATTATCCCCTCCCCCTCATCTCGCATAGCTTTTGTTTCGACTCGTGTTTTGCGGAATCCGGGCGGACCGTGATGTTAATGTACACAGAAGGTTTTATTGATGCAGTTGTCTGACACTCAGCTCTGTACGTGACATGTAGACCATGGGATCTAACAGGAGAACGATGATTACCGTAAGGGGGTCGAAATATTAGTAATGGAAATGTCGCTAGGTAGATTGACTCCGTACGTCCCATCCCTCCAATACGTGAGCTGTCACGTATCCTCTAAAGACAATGAAATATTGGAAGATCGTTGTTCTTCGAATTCACACTTGAATAGGTATTTTTACATTTCAAATAATAAAAAAGGTGTTATTATGAACGCTTCAATGGCAGATGAGTGGAAAATACTCATCGATAGTGTCTAACAGATGTGTAGTAGTGACAGGAACAGAATCTTCTTAACTAAAGTTTTCAGTGGCAACAAAGATGCAACATTTGCAACCTCAAAGCTCAGTTTTCGTCTTCAAAATGAAGTTTTGCTATTTTAATTTTTTTTTCGCTTTTATCCGTAGCTTCGCCACAACTGAACATACTTTCAAGGGCCACAGAGCCTGTATTCCTTAACGACATCTAAATGCGAAAGCTTACGAGGTCAAGAATATGATGAAGCATATAAAAAACAATATCTCATTTTCGAAATTTTCCTAATCACTAAGTATTAAATACAATGAGGGTATCGGCAATTTTCGCGTGTACCTGATTAGTAGTAGTAATCATTGTCATTTTCTCTAGCCATCGGTAAGATTTTGCTTTAGTACCAGGCTTGTTCAATTGAAACCCGTCTTTGGTCAGGTTAGCCTTGGAAATAATTCTAATCACTTAACTGACTTTTTGCAGTGTTACGAGGGATATTTTTTAAGTTTTGCATATAGAAACATAGTAGGCCACGCGGATCGAACGTCATTACTGAATCTTAACCTCACCCTTTAGTAAACTTAAATTCAAAGTTTTACAACAACACGTGCAGTGTTTTCACTTCAGTAAATTTTTAAGTGTCACCAAGTCATTAGAGAAATGGAGCTCAACCGAGAACATTTTCGCGCCGTAATTTATTACACTTTCAGAGACAATTATCGCAAGAAGAATGCCTTGCCGAGTTACTATCTGTGTTCGGCAACGAAGCGCCACATCAGTCGACAATTTCCCGTTGGTATGGAGAATTCAAACGTGGACGGGTGAGTCTTAGCGACGATTCCAGGGTGGGTGCACCAAAAATGGCAGTCACCCAGGAAAACGTCGATGCTGTGCGCAAACTCATCATTGAAGATAGACATGTCACATATCACGAGATTGAGGCGTCCTCGAAGATCTCAAAGACCTCAATTCAAAAAAATTTACATGAAGAACTAGGAGTAAGAAAGTTAGTTTCTCGTTGGATACCCCACCTGTTGACTGAAGAGCAGGAAGCAGCCAGGGTTAATTGGTGTCAAAGAACGCTTGACCGTTTCAATTCCGGAAACTCAAAAAATGTGTACAGCATTGTTAGTGGTGATGAATCGTGGATTTACTGTTATGAACCAGAAAATAAACGACAGTCGGCTGTTTGGGTGTTCCAAGGTGAAGAAAAGCCAACAAAAGTCATCCGTTCTCGAAGTGTTTCGAAAAAGATGATCGCGACATTTGTATCAAAAGCGGGTCATATGGCAACAATTCCCCTTAATGAGAAAAGAACTGTTACTGAGGATTGGTATACCACCATTTGTTTGCCAAAAGTCATTACCGAGCTTCGAAAAATCAACCCCGAAAGAAGAATCATCCTCCACCAAGACAATGCAAGCTCGCACACAGCACAAAAAAACAAGGCAGTATTTAACCGAAGTAAACGTGAAATTATTGGACCATCCTCCATATAGTCCAGATCTCAGTCCTAACGATTTCTTTACATTCCCGAAAATTAAAAACAGACTGCGTGGTCAAAGAAGAAGCAGATGACGCATTCAAAAATGCCTTTTTGGATCTGCCAGCAAACGAGTGGAATAAGTGCTTCGAAAATTGATTCAAGCGGGTGCAGATGTGTATTAATCTATGTGGAGAATACTTCTGAAAACAATAAAGTCATTTAAAACTACCTACCGTGTTGTTTATTTCCATATGCAAAACTTAAAAGCCATGCCTCGTAGTTGTGTTTGTAAACGTCTCATTGATCAGCTCCTAACGTTTGTATTTGACTGCGATTTTAAGTATTGAGACCTGAAAATGGCGTTTGTTGTCAACAATCCTTCCAAAAGTAAAGTTAGTAGTGGATCAACGGAAATCAGGTTATAGAGGGCCTCAAGATATATCGAAGGAACCCCTATATGTTTGGTCCGAAATTTTATAAACGGGATAATGAACTTACAATCGCAATTCCAACTAAACAATTAGGCTTAGGGCTGTGATTTTTTTGAGCTAAATGGTTAAATTCAGCAATGGTAATGTCAATTTTTAGCAGAACTAATTAAAAATCAACGCAAAAGTCTTAAATTCATTTTTTTTGTGAAAAATCTCTTCCATCTATCAACTTTGGAGAGCGGATGTTGTTTCACTATTTATTTTATTGTAAAACCTATTTCAATAGAATAAACCCTGAAAATTTCAGCTTGATACGATAAGTGCTTCACCTTAAAAAATCTGTATGTTTGACGCAGGTGGGTATCTTTACATGTAAACAAGAAATTCTATTTTGCGAGCTACAGTCCAAACGACTTGATGGATTTTGACATACGAGGTACTGTTGAATTCAGCCTAGCAGTGCGAGTGATACTGTGTATATTAACATTTTGTAAAATCAAAATGGCGGATTTTTTACGCAAATAGCCAAATCAGCTGAATGATCTTGGGCATCCAACTCGGCATTTCAGATGCGGGAGCGTTCAGTCTTCGGTCCGAAATTACTAAGTCCAGCGCGGAATTTGTGCCTAACGTTTGGCGTCTGAGTAGGATCATGTCATATTCTCCTCGAGATTATGCAGAAATGCATTACTACGTATTATGGTGCTGCTCTAGGAAATGCTTGAGTAGCTGCTCGCATGTATCGGAAGTATGTGGTTAGAAGAGGTGGACCAGAACCGGCCGTATATCCCGACTACCATTTTTTTCTACGCGTCCATATTGCGTATATAAGTGCCGCATACTAGGCACTCATCGTCAGCTACAGCGCCGAGGATACGTCCAGAATAAATAGAATATATATTAGAAGCAGCCGAGAAAGATCCCTCTATAAGCACCAGAGCCATTGCCCGAAGCAGAAACATATCCCATACTCCAGTGCACACAATACTACGCTCGGAGGACATGCATCCTTACCATGTACAAAAAGTACAAGAATTGCTTCCAAGCGACTATGCGCAACGGGAGTTTTGTGAGAATATAATGAGAACGTGCGAAGAGGATGAACATTTTTTCGACAGCATCTTATGGACAGATGAATCCAACTTTAACCGAAATGGAATATTTAACATGAACAATTTCCATTCTTGGAGCGTGGAAAATCTACACGCTATTCGCCGACACAGCTTTCAAAGTCAGTTCGGCGTTAATTTATGGGCTGGAGTACTCAACAAAAAATTAATTGGACCATATCAATTGCCCGCCAGGCTGAATTATCAGTCATATCTCGCTTTTCTACAAAGCAGTTTGAATGAGCTGCTAGTGGATGTACCTTTGGACGTTCGAAGCCGCATGTTGTTTCAACGCGATGGTGGCCCATGCCACTTTGCACGAGATGTACGGCATTACTCAGACAATGCCTTTCCTGGGCGTTGGATAGGTAGAGGTAGGCACATACGATGGCTTCCAAGGTCACCCGATTTAAATCCTCTGGATTTTTTGTATGGGGCCTTTATAAGGAGATAATCTATACATCTGAATAAACAAATGTAACCAACTGTGCCGGAATTGATGAAGCAAAAATAAAATTTACGGAAAACGCAAATTCATTTGAAAGACCAAAGGACAATTTTATTAGAATGTGTCGCTTGAGTATAGAAAATAATGGAGGCCATTGCGAACATATTCTTTAAAAGTTAGTTAAATTAAATTATCTTCCACATTTGTCGGTAAATCGCTATAAAGTGCGGCTAAACACAACAGATTCTGTACTTGTAGGTGGTGTGCTTTAGGTTTGCAAGATTGCAAATTCAGAGTGTGGTTCTTTGTACTTTGGTCTTTGATACAAATGATTGAGGTTTGGGCGTCACCTAGTTCCAAGAACTAGTAAAAAGAAACAGCAATAACAAGTACTGCCTTTCGGCCTTTCAAAACTGACTGCCAAATGTTGGGCCTTTGGTGCTAAAGGAAACACAAATTCGCAAGGCACGCAAGTCCTAGGAGACAGCAAAAGGATATTAGCTGGTACTACCCCCCAGCTAAATGGAAGCCAGCAAAAACTAAAAAAAAAAGAAATCTCCCTGGTAAGTGCTTGCCTATTACAAAATGGCGGGATTGGTTCTCACACTAGAGAAGGGATAGCTACTATGGAGCCTCTCAAAGGAAAGGCTCCACAAATGGATGCTCCGAAGCAAAGGAAACCAAGGGTAGGAAGTCTCAGCTGTAAGTTGGAACCCGAATTTAGAACCCTCGAACAATGAGGGATCACGGAAATGGGGGACTGCTCCTCGTAGTCGTGTTAATGCAGACAGTTCCCCTCAGCTCGGTGGTTTGGTGTAGCTGCAACGACGAAATCTCCAAGAGGTGAGAAAAGGGCCCCGACAACAAAATTCTTCAAATGAGGCCGATTTCGATCAAAGTGTCCACAATATGGCAAATCTCAGCACTGGGTGTGAAATTGCTTCACTATGCAGGTTGTGACCGCGGAACAGATGCACCGGAAAAAGCACCAAGTAACCTCCAGCTCTCGTATTTACGGTCAACCGACATTATAAAAAATGACCTTGATGACGAGATGGAGAGAACGATTTTCTACCACACAACCAGGGAAACGAGGTAAATTCAATATTTTTAAGAACTGTTATAAAATATATCGTTCTAAATAAGAAAAACATTGTAATAATTTACTTTATTAAGATATAGTTAATTTTTAGTTGACCATGAAAAGAAACTGTAAGAAGTATCTCAAGTTTCTTTATTATGGCAATGTGTTCGATGCATTTGCCATTCATGCTAAGCTACTAGAGCTAGAAATAGATTTGTAGTAGTTTAGTGTGTGTGAGTTCATTGAACAACCATTACGTAAATCATACTTATACACCACAATTCCGTACAATTTGCTTTGCAAATTCTAAAAATGTGCAGTTTCTCAACGTCTACGCAAATCTACGAGTACATCGTTTCCAGGCCATGTACCAGAAGCTTTTTATTTTCCATATCCGGAATATATTTACCTAAGTATCCAGTGTATCTGCAATTCCAGACAATATAATGTATTTGCGGGGTAATGGATATAACGATGGATATTCCAAGCTGTATTTATAATAGGGGCCACTTTTTTTCGTAAAACACAACATGTAAAACACAATGAGTATATCAGTTTTTTTTAAGACTTCTGAACGATAATGAAATTCAACAAAGCATTGTAACAAACTTTGGCCTTACATCATGTCCAGAGAAAACAATTCAGTCATTTAGCTCACCCAAGGAACAAAATGGCCCCAACACAATATTGTTCGTTATTACACCGTTTACCATGATGGTCCAACAATGTCATCTCTGGTAAGTCTGATTTTTAGGATAAAAGATGCAACTTATTCGGTATTGGTAAACTGAGCTGTTTCTTGGAATAACAATCTTGTTTCAATACAGTTCATTCAATGTTAGCACTGTAGTTGTAAATATAGCAATTCTGAAAATAAATTCAACACATAAATTTTTGTTTTCTCCAAAAAGGCTCATCTCATCAAAATCAGTCAGAGTTCCTTTTGTTCTGCGATATAATTAGGCTTCCTAGGCATATTGTTTTTGAGCTGCTATGATACTGAGTGCTAAAAAAAGAATAAGGCGTTAGACCCGGCGCTCTTAATTGTTACAATGCAGGCAAAACTTAGTTCCGTCCAAAACTTAACTGAGGCAGTCCCGTAATCTTTAGCGGCTACGGAACTACAATATATATATACTAAGTGACATATAAATCCGAACACCCAGTTTAAATGGTTTTATTTTAATAAAATTTTGTGTAAGTACTTAATGAAGCATAATAAGTAAATGATAAAAATTTCAAAATGATTGCACTGCTTTAAAGCCCTTTGACCTTTAATAATGTGTGGATGCACCCTGATGTGCTACGCATTCTCCAACGCGCCTAGGCATGCTTCTGATCAGGTGGTCAATGTCCTCCTGTGGTATCTCATTCCAGGCAACCACCAACTCCTCTCGAAGTGCTTCTAGAGTCTGAGGAGGACGTTGCAAATTGAGCAATCGCCTACCCATCATATCCCACACGTGCTCAATTGGGGATAAGTCGGGAGATCTTGGTGGCCATGGTAACAATGTGACATCATTATGTTGAAAGAAGTCTATTGTGACTCTTGCAACATGTGGCCGGGCATTATCTTGTTGGAAAGTTGGATCTGCCAGGGTGTCAAGATAGGGTAAAAGATGGGGTTCTAGAACTTCGTGGATATAACGCTGCGCGTTCATGTTACCTCTGATGAAGATTAAAGGTGACCTGGAACCATAAGCTATAGCACCCCAAACCATAACTCCAACAGTGTGATTAACATGTCTTTCAACAAAAAACTGTGGATTCCTCCTTTCACCACGTCGCCTTCTAACCCTGGCACGACCATCGTGCATGCCCAAACAAAATCGAGACTCGTCACTAAAGACCTGATCCCAGAGTGACCGTTGTCTGCACCACTCAAGGCGATTAGGTCGGTGTTCTCGAGTTAAAGGGAGGACCCAGTGTGGCCCGTATGAAAACAAGCCAAAACTTCTCATTCGTCGGTAAATACTTCGCATGCCAATAGTTCTTCCGTGTTCTGCAAACCATTCATTTGCAGTGGACCCGGTAGTGGAGAAACGGTCCCTTAAGGCCAATAATCTTAGGCGGCGATCTTCACGGTCTGTTGTTCTACGGCGGCGTCCAGTGCCCCTTGCTCTTTGCGTACGGCCTTCTCGAAGCCATGCCTGACAACATCTAACCACAGTGTCTATACTTCTTCGCACTCCAACTGCAATTGCCCGAAAAGAAAGTCCAGCTTCCCGAAGTCCCACTATACGGCCCCTATCAAACTCACTAAGTTGACGAAATCGTACAGGTCTCCGTACTCTAGGCATCGTAATCGATCGTAAAGGATGTCAAGAACCAAAATCCGCCAACGTTAATTCTTTACTGCGGCTGAAATATTCATTTTTATAGCGTTAGTGAATTAAAAAAAAGCAGTATAAACACCGGAGATACCCACTCTGTCAGGCAAAGCTCCTAAAAAAGGATCCAATATCTAGGGTAAATGTCGGCTTCCTTAAGAACTCCGAAGGTCAAAGGTTTTAACACCAGTGCCCTTCTGGAGGTAACTTTAAATTCTGTGATACAAGGTGGCTATTTTTCAAAATTCCAAGAAAACTTGTATAAAACATGTTATTTAGACAGTTGTATTTACTGCTTCACGAATATACATCAAAGTCGGAGGCATGTCTTCTTCACTAACGCCTTCTCTATCATCAGTCTGCGCCACTGAGTGTACTCTAACTCGCTCAGCTAGGATCTGCCAGAATACATCTCGGAAGATGCGATTAAGCCAGTCAGCTGATGCTGGCCCGAGTAGCAATGGAGATAAGGGTACGACACAGTTTTCTTTAGCCTACATACGTATGTTTCAACATCAAGAATGTAGAAGGATAAGATTAGGTCGGTCAGCAGATACCTTTTTTTACACCCTATTTGCATGTGTACGTAGAGGCCTTTCAGGGTTGAAAAACTAGACAAAACAAATTAATGACTGACCCTCCCATTTTCATCGTTCCTCATTGCCAGCACCATTTGTCGTCCTTTTTGTCGCGTTATTAATCATTCAACGTCCTTACAGCAGCGTCGCGTTAATTGGTCGATAATATTTTGACACGGTCGCCTGTCAATTCTAATTCGCCCACGAATTTCCAACTTCTATCCAACTGTGATAAGTGAAAGTTGAATGCCTCATACGGGGAAGAATGATTAATTGTTGTTTGGATGTAGAAAGGAAGTATCACATAATTTGCGGAAATGTTGGGTGTAAATTGGTAGAATAGGCCGTTTTATCTTCTACTTATAATCCCGCGTCGGGGGAGAATACTGTCATCGTGATAAATTTAATATTAATTTCTTGGGTTGGAAGTTGCATTGCGGACAAAAGTGAGGCGGGTAGTGGAAAACAAAGGGAACTCTGAAATTCACCGCATCAGGAGTATGGAAGCTAGAGTAATATATCGTATTATTTATATTAGATATTAGAAACGACAAGGTAGGAATCATGCATTCCTTTTCTACGTGTACATTTACTTTTTATGTATACTAAGTGACATATAAATCCGAACACCCAGTTTAAATGGTTTTACTTTGATGTATTTATCTTACTGTAAATAACAAGTGAAAAAATTTTCAGCCTTATCAGTTGGACATTCCGTTTTTATACTGCTTTTTTTTAATTCACTAACGCACTAAAAATGACATCCTCTACGATCGGTTACGATGCCTAGAGTACGGAGACCTGTACGATTTCGTCAACTTAGTGAGTTTGATAGGGGCCGTATAGTGGGACTTCGGGAAGCTGCACTTTCTTTTCGGGCAATTGCAGTTAGAGTGCAAAGAAGTGTAGACACTGTGGTTAGGTGTTGTCAGGCATGGCTTCGAGAAGGCCGTACGCAAAGAGCAAGGGGCACTGGACGCCGCCGTAGAACAACAGACCGTGAAGATCGCCGCCTAAGATTATTGGCCTTAAGGGACCGTTTCTCCACTATCAGGTCCATTGCAAATGAATGGTTTGCAGAACACGGAAGACCTATTGGCATGCGAAGTGTTTACCGACGAATGAGAACTTTTGGCTTGTTTTCATACCGGCCACACTGGGTCCTCCCTTTAACTCGAGAACACCGACGTAATCGCCTTGAGTGGTGCAGACAACGGTCACTCTGGGATCAGGAATGTATTGTCTTTAGTGACGAGTCTCGATTTTGTTTAGGCATGCACGATGGTCGTACCAGGGTTAAAAGGCGACGTGGTGAAAGGAGGAATCCACAGCTTTTTGTTGAAAGACATGTTCATCACACTGTTGGAGTTATGGTTTTGGGTGCTATAGCTTATGGTTCCAGGTCACCTTTAATCTTCATCAGAGGTAACATGAACGCGCAGCGTTATATCCACGAAGTTCTAGAACCCCATCTTTTACCCTATCTTGACACGCTGGCAGAACCAACTTTCCAACAAGATAATGCCTGACCACATGTTGCAAGAGTCACAATAGACTTCTTTCAACATAATGATGTCACATTGTTACCATGGCCATCAAGATCTCCCGACTTATCCCCAATTGAGCACGTGTGGGATATGATGGGTAGGAGATTGCTCAATTTGCAACGTCCTCCTCAGACTCTAGAAGCACTTCGAGAGGAGTTGGTGGTTGCCCGGAATGAGATACCACAGGAGGACATTGACCACCAGATCAGAAGCATGCCTAGGCGCGTTGGAGAATGCGTAGCACATCAGGGTGCATCCACACATTATAAAAGGTCAAAGGGCTTTAAAGCAGTGCAATCATTTTGAAATTTTTATCATTTACTTATTATGCTCCATTAAGTACTTATACAAAATTTTATTAAAATAAAACCATTTAAACTAGGTGTTCGGATTTATATGTCACTTAGTATACTATTGTGTAGGAAGTAAAACTAAACATGAAATTTATCATACGAGTATACTTCGACTAGAGTCTCTCAACCAAACAACAACGATATCGAATTCTGAATGTGTTGGAACATCAACGCTTGCCTATACTAGTAGCACTGGATCCAAACATCAACACCTCACTTCTTGTCTTCGTTGTGCTGCCTCACACACAGCAACACTGTGTTATACTGAATCGCTCTGTAATTGGAACTCAATTTCGATTTTTCTTCCGGCTTTGTCAAATGCCGGCTACCGACTATGTATTAGTAACCTTTCTATATGCTTGTTTGCATTTTTATCTCAAAACAAAGCATGAGTAGAAGAACAAAATTCCAAGCAGGATTCCAGGGGCCACACGTTGACTGCCACCTTTTTCGGTTGGTTTTACCAAGGATCCATTTAGTTGTATAATGTTAAATTCGTTATTTTGGTAGTATAACTTCGTAAAATGAGTTATTGGGGTATTTTCGTAAAGTGTTTTTTTAATTAGAAGATTTTTTGGGAGGCTCTTCTAAGAGCCGGCCGCAATGACTTGCAAATCAGTTTCCTGTGTGCCAGCTGACTGTTATAAGAGTCGGAAGATAATTATTTGTGTATTATAATAGAAATAAACTGAAAGCAAAAAAACAGTTATTATCGACCGTTAACAAAAATAAAATATTAAAAATAATTTTTGTAACTCAAAATAGTAGAGAACATATAATAGCGTAACAAAAACTTTTCCGGTAAATAATACACCTAGGGGCCGATTTCGCCAACATTAATATTATGGACCAATGGGAAAATACCTTATCGAAATGCAATTTGACGGAAGCTGTCAAAGGTCTCTGAATATCAGTGATTTCTATTGAAATATTGAATAAAATCGTGAAAATTCGATTGTATTATAAACAAGACCACCTTTGATTCCAACATGATGCTTTTGTACAGAAAAAACAGGACAACTTTCATGTATTTTGATATATGTTATAGGTTTACATTTAACAATCCGTTATCTCACTGAGCGAATGGGAATGCGGCAAATAGTAGGTCGAATTTCTAGCTATTAAATTTGGCAGCAGATTTGGACGTTTGTCAATGCATGGACTCTCGAACTTACCAACTTCAATATACTGTAAGTTATCATCACATACCTGTTGAACAGTGTGGATTTGTCTGTATTTTGCAAGAAAATAGGATATAAAATACATTCCATCCAATTCCTCATCTTCCTTTACGTCATAATAGTAATCATTTATTAATTTATGGGTTAATGAATTTCTTCAAAACAATAAAAACATTATGTCCTCTCCATCCTAAAACAAAGATAATATGTGTAAGACGTGTCAATCCCTACATCTCCCTGATGCATAGTGCAATTACTATGGACATAGACAAAAAATTATGAAAAATGTTTCACAGATAATGGCTTTTAAGTCCAAAAATCAAAAAAACTAGTAATGTTTATTGCTTGTCTATTTTTCTTTTTTGACTGGCGGAGATATCTATCTGACACTCGCAGGGTTGCCAAGTCTAATGACGATCACTTCCCGTGATGGAGGGTGCGAAATGAATCTTTTACATTTGCTGGTTTTGAATTTTTTTCGTGAAAATTTACTACATGATTATAAGCATCTTTGGTAGATTGTTCGATCAGGAATGGAAAAGATCTCCTATTTATGAAAATATTTTTGGTATCATCTAACCGTTGCAACCAGTGCGCAAACACTGTGACATATGACTTATAGCATAACCCGCTGCCCTATCAATACAAATTTAACATACAGGTCGCCTAGCCGTGGGGATGCAGTGGTCGGGATGAATATCACGGCAGCAACTGATGATTTGGGCATGGCTGGTAACAACGTATGAAGTGAAACTCGCTAACTTCTCAAGTTTGAAGATTTTGTACAATTTCTTTGAAAATGATGAAAGATATGTCTGATTTGGCAGGGTAATGTCGCAGCCAAATGGCAGTCACTCTTTCTGACACAGTCCGGATCGAAAGATGACGACACCCGTTAAATGTATTGATACATCTAAATATAGGATCGTATCGAACATCCTTACTGTCAAGATGTATAATCCAACGTACCGACGGAGCTATATTGCGGCGTCAATGAAATAATTTTAAATTTTCATTTGCATTTTTTCAAGTGTTGTGCAATGATTTTGGGAAAAATGTCACGAATCGTCTTATAAAGCATAGTAGAGTATACTTCAACAGTTGGCGGAACTTACTCCACTGGGACCAGGAGGGTATTAATGCACAATCTGGCAACCCTGTCGCACCCTCACAAAATGGCCGCTGATAACCACACAAGTCACCGTGTTGTCATTGAATAGTATGGAATTAATCCTTTAGAGTATAATATGTTTTGTGACTAGTACCAAGAGTTGACAGAACCCACACATGTGTCACTCCTTGAAATGCAATAATCAGCTGTATTCAAATAATGACTAATATAAATATAACCTAGAATGTGTACTCATGAAAAAAGAAAAATATGGCAAATTTGAAGTTTTTTTGCAGGTTTTAGGTTTGATGGTAGCTTTAAGGCGTATATTCGGGAATTTATTAATCCTGTGAATATAGTGTGGATGTTTGTTCAGTTCCTGAACAAAGAAAATTATTCAACTTTATGGATGTATGGATATCAAAAAACCTGAATGGTTTTGTGAGAATATCAACCTAAGTTGCCATAATGGTTCTGATGAACGGCAAGTAAATTAATGAATGTTTGGAAACGAGCAATACCTTTTGGTAGAGCCTGTCATCAAGTAGGTGCTTAATGGCTATCTGCAAGAGGTTTATTGGAAGAAACACCCAGTATCACATATCAATTAAAGAAAATAATACAAACATGAATAAAAAATCGACAATAGCAATATTCAATAAGCTAGTAATGTTTCAATGACAAGTTGTCATCTCGTACTGTGACAGTATTTTGTTTTCAACAT